TGAAATAAAAATATCCGATTCATCCGGTTGAAATGTAGAAACACTTTATTTTAAGAGCTTGAAGAAGTCTGTCATGCAGAGAAAACAAATGAATCAGTCAAAGTTTCCATATTTTTTCATAGCCTAGCCTGTTAGCTTAGCTTGACCTCTGCCTGCACGGCAGAGAGAGAGAGAGACAGACAAGAGAGAGAGAGAGAGATTTTACCTGTGAATCATATTGTGAGAGTGAAGATATGCTAATCCCTGCAGTGCACCGTGGGTAATAGCAGCTATTTCAACTTCCTGGAGCGGCTTTTTGTGAACTGTGAAGACAGAAAGAGTAGAAGAAGAGACAACAGGCTGGATATCAGACAAAGTTCAATAAACGCGTGGTGTTTCCAGTCAATGAGTAATCGTGTTAAATAATCATGATCATTATTTTCCTCCACTGACCTTCGAGGAGGTCTGAGGCCGAGCCGAGGCAGTACTCCATCACCAGCTGAGGGAGAGACGATTCAACATGGCGGTCACAGAGCCACAGGTAGCATTTATATCAACACACATTTCTCACTTTCATACAGATCTCACGGGAATCATCCGTAACAAACACAATAAGAAAAGGCAACAACTGCCCCTGTCCTTGTTTCAAGCCTGAGATAATGTGTTGGTTAAACAGTTAGTCAACAGTCTTGGTTATCAGTTAATCATTAAAGTTGCTTATTAAGTAATTACACGTTAAAGATTTGCTCCTTTTCTTTGTACATAAAAAATGTTGTAAATCTTTGGGATTTAGAGGCTGATGATTGGACAGTTATTTGGATATGTCACCCTAGACTCACAAACACGAGCTTTAATTTGTATTTCCAATGTGGAAAAGACATTTCCAGAAGCTAATGACAGTATAAAACTCACCCATGCCGTGTGTTCTTTCAGGTAACACCCCCGGTACTCGATAGTGTTCGGGTGGCGAAGTTTCTGCAGGAACTTCACCTCTTTAATGATGTCCTGCCATTTCTGCACATGAACACACACAACACTCAGTCAGACCTCATCCTGCTTGTTGTTACTGGAGAAATGTTTATTTAATGTTATTACATAATCACATAAAATACAAACTTCAGGGTTCATATTTATAGTATCAGGATAAAGACGATGGAGTCACTTTAACACTATATAAATCGTCAAGGACATTTAAAAATGAACTGAAGGAGTTTATTAGTGATTTTGATGATGATCATTCAACTATCAGAGAAATGGATAATCTGAGAAGATGCATGGGGAGGGAGAGACTTTAAAATCTACAAGGAAATGTTAGTTCCTCACCTCGTTTGTTTGCTTGCCGCTGTACGACATTTTCTTGATGGCCACCACCTCATTGTTTCGCACATCTCGGGCCTGGAGGATGAAACACAAACACATTTACACATGTGAACTCAAGAAACCAAGTTACTCAGAGAAAATATGCTTCGCAGGTAATCAGATAACAACTTTTTTTTTTTCTCTGGAAAATTTTCCTGGAATCTTAAGATCTTCTGCAGGAACGCCCTGATCACACCAGGAACAATCACAATCTGATCTGCTCCGCCGGAGTGGCACCTCAGTGGTGGTAACGAGGAAGGGAGCCGTTTCTTTCACTTTCTCCGCCCAGATTTATGAACCAAGCCACGACATTCATTCGGTTCGAAATTAACGTCGACGTCCACTTCAGGCTCAAGACGCTCCATTAAGGAGATTTAGCCGAGGCTAGTCAACGTTAGCTCGAACCAGGCTTGAACAAGCTGCATTATGCGCAAACACGGACTCTACACGCAGACCAGGATAATGGATTGTCGAAAAGAAGATCATGTCACAGAAAGAAAGGAAAACAAGCAGCGGAGCAAACCCTGCTGATGAGGGTGGCCTCCTCATTTTTATTTTATAGGGACAATGCTATTTAACATAGTTTCAAAACGAGGTATGAAGCTAATGTGTTGCACAAGGATTTTTATAGCTATTGCTAATTCTCGACTCCGGTCCGTCGTTGGGCTTTTACATGTGTGATGGAATTAAAACATTCAAGAGCAAAACCAACAGAAAACAGACAACACAACTGATAATACACTACAATTAGCTAAAGACATCCACAAGAACAGTCAACAACTAGCTACAAGTATTCAAACTGGTTAGCTTTTAGCAGCACTTAACCTTTGTTGTAAAGGAATGTCCCGTATAATACATGATTGGCCCGTAATTTAAAATAAAATGCTTTAAAATTTGCCCCATATACTTGTACGCATCATTTCATTAATGAACCATGTCCTCGAAGTGTCGAGAGTGATGTAACATCAAGTAAAACCAAACCTGTTACAGCTACAAGTTGATTAGAGAAGTTAACAAGCTCTGTGTGCTGTGAGAAAATACACCAATGCTCATCTTCTTCAGGTGAAGTCGGCAGAACAGCGCTCTGATAGCTCACCTGGCAGCGCGCATATCATCACAGTTTACTCATTACCGCAGTGGCACAGGTTCGAGTCCATTAAGCTTCACAGTTCTGCAGCATCAGTTACCATGGTTACTGAGCAGGGACTCCTGTGAGCCACAATGATGGAGCAGAACTCTGACTTATGTTAGAGAGGCTTAATAAACCAGGATTGTCCTTCATCTGCCTTGATGGAATCGGCCCCTGGTCGCTGTAAGTCCATGTTTTTAGCAGGTGAGTCGCCTCATTACTTGAACGGCAGGTGATGCTCACTTTGGAAGCATTACCCACCAATTCTAACAGAGAGAGAGCATTCAAATTTATCTCACATGGTTCTTAAATTGGACAATTTTTCAGGGGTGGGAACCGATTATTTGGACTTCTAGAGGTTATTTTGGAGAAGTTTTTGAGTTCAGAATTGATTATGTTAATTATGTCTCATTTCTCCTGCTGCCCTGCCCTCATGGGGATACTCTGAAGTCTCTGTCCCGCACATGAACACATATATAAAACTCTGATTAGAAATGAGAACACATGTTCAAGAAACCAGCGCTCTCCTGGAGAAACCAGGTTTCTCTACTCCCCCACGCTGATGATAGAAACCAGGTTTCTCTATAAGGGTGTGTAAACAAGAGCAGCAGCTCTAACAAAAGCACTATCATCTTTGTGGCCCATTATTCATCTGTTATTGCACAAAATACACAACAAGGGTATTTTCATCACACAAGGAGCGATTACATTTACTGAGGAATTTTCCTTAAAATTCTGTTTGAACGACATGTTGAGACTTGAACAGGACGACCTAACCATGTGCCTTTAATTCTTTAAATGCTGCTTTTCTGGTTTGTGTGAAGCCACCGTCATCTATTAGTGACACTAATCTGAAATCTGGTTTCTCGTCAGCCTGATTCTGCATCTGATTTTTCACCATCCTTTCGAGAGTAGAGGCTGCACGTGAATTTTAAGACCATTTGGTGGTGCCAAAAGACCGATCCGACGTGTGCAGTGAGCCCAGAACAAAGACGGACACGATGATCCGTTTGTGAACCAAACTACATGATTTATTTTTGGGATAAAATGCTTATATTTTCTCAGAGCTATTCCAAACGCTTAATCCTCCAAAGGGCTTAATCCTAAATCCCAAGTGAGGATGCTGCTATCAGACACCAGACGAAGTCATGTTGCTCTGTGATGACACTGACAACATGGAGTCCTACCCCGGACTGTAAACAGCTGAATGATGCATCGTGGCCGTTTCTACTGAGAAGAATCCCTAAAAATAGAATTATATTATACGACCTTCTTAAAAACAACAATTTTAAACATTAAATAAGGTTTTTTAATCCCTGACTGATTCTGGCGGTGGTCATTCAAGGACACTTGTCCCCTCCGACCTGCAGAGTTCACAGTCTGGAGGAAATACAGTATAAAGCAGTTAAATTGATGTAAATTGATGCACATCATCTATTTCTGTAGCACATCTCTAATGGCCTTTTAAGGATCCTCTGAAACTCAGACACTGAGTGAGGCAGTGAGAACAGTGTGGAGGTGTTAGTCTACCACAGCCTGAGGAAGATTTTACAGGTAAAAGGAGATGCACGGCCTCGTACAGACACGTTGTGTTCCCACTGGTTTCTTGATTAGTTGGGGAAAAATTCAGATTCAGTTTCTTTCTTTATTTGTTTACACAATGAATTGTATAGAACATTAGGACTTTCTTCTTTTTAAGAGTTTTATATTTAAGTTTTCTGAAATAGAAATGGATACAGGAGCTGTTTCATCCCACGTATTTATTTTTATTTATCTTTTTTTGTGACTTATTGGTTTGAATTGGGAAGAGTTTTCCTTTCTCATTAAGTAGAGCTATTGTATGTGTTAGATGGGTTGTGTGTTGTGTACTGAGAGTCTCAGTGTGAGTATGAACGATATGGATGTGTATTGATCCGTCTGTTGTCACTGAAGTATTGTTTATGAATCTGAACATAAACTCAGCACCAAAAAGCAGGAACAGCACGGTAAGTATCTTATTGCTTTAAACTTACAGGAAACTATCACATATTCTGACCATTTATATGTTTGGGCTTCTACCAGCTTAGACTACGTGGTTTGCTCTGGTTCCAGATCTCTGAATCGCTGTTTCCACCAGCTGGAGAAACTGTTCACCAATTACATCTTTGTAGGTTGAGGTTAAGAATGTTTTTACCTGCTACGTCTATGAAACATAGCAACAGAAAAGTGGCCACAAGAAATACAAGGCAGACAAAACAGCAACCCCTCAACAATTCTGAGATTCTACATTTCTTCTTTAGTGTAAAAAACATTAAAATTACTCAGAGTTTAGATTCTATTTGTGGCGGCAGCTGAATCAGCTGATGTAAAACGAATAAATACTCTCCACTTTACACACAAAACTGGTTAAAGCTCCATCACAACCTCTTGTCGGATGGTTGAATTACTCCGTCCAAACTGCTTGTCGGAAAGATTGAAAACGTTAAAATAACTGCTACCACAGTTTCCTGTCGACTGAAAGTGACGCCAGCCTCGACTGGACGAAGACATGAAGACGACGACCGGCTGAATGGAATAACTGGAGTAAAAGGGCTGATACAGTCTGATCATCAGACTATAGCTGGTTCAGATTACCTCGAAGTGAGGAGGTCATGCTCACAGTAAAGACACCCTGGACTACACAAACATTTACTGCCACAAAACAGATGGACTTTAACGTCATACTCACAAAATACACCGCTCCGAAGCTGCCATGGCCGATCTCACGGAGGTCAGCGAACAGCTTCTCGGGATCATCTTTGCAGAAAAGATCTGCCACCTCCGGGTCTTTCAGATTGCCCGCCCGTGCACTCGAGGGCATGGCCAGGGCCTGTGAAGCAGAGGAGAGACGGCTGTGAGGAGCGATCAGGATCCAAACAAGGAGCTTCAGACATCACATCATACCTCAAAATACCAGCCTGTTTTAGACATTTCAGCTTTAAACAAACACTTAACAGGAACAGAAATATTAGTTATTCTAACTGATGTATTGAACCCGCTGCCAATCACTATGGGAGTCGCAGCAGACTCCAGTCCTGCCGCCTTAATGTTGGTGGAGGGAACCCTTTGAATTAAATTTGGATCTTGGACCATGTTCCCATATTGTTTTAGAGGGATGTGACGCGTCTGTTTTCCACTTCAGTCGGGCAGAAAACCATCTAATTAATGTGTTAAACATGCTGGAAACTGCGTTCTTGTACTCTTGTAAAATGACCCACTTCCGAAACCCCCTCACATCTTATCAGTTTCCGTGATACTCCACAAATCTGTGGTGCAGGTCTCAAAGATCCTGTAGTATTTGAGGAATGTCATGACTGGCTGCTTTTGGCCAAAACAGTTTGGAGTCATCTGTGCACCTCTGTGGTGATTGAAAAAACAACCGTTATCTCCCACAGTTGATCTATCTGGGACAGTTACCAGCTGACAAGTCATGACACGAAGACAGCCGACAGTTACAGGGAAGGCCGGGATGTTTACCTGGAGAGAGCCACTCACAAACACGGAGAGAAAACGACGCAGAGAAGAAGAGTGTGACACGAACAGCTGAGAGCGAGCGGGAAACAAAATGGCTGCTGGTGCTCACAAAGTGCACTTCAATATGAATGGTTTTCAATTATTAACTGTTCAGAACTTGTGACATCAAAAGCATAAATGATGTGAAAGTGATGAAAACAGCTTCAAGAAGAAGAACAGAGTTTCACCAACTCATTAACTGAGAGTCTAACTGGTGACAGTGTCTCTCTCTGTGAATTAAAGATGCAAAATATAATGTCAGACCTGTCACTCCACAACCTTATATATTTGTACTTGATGTATATATTTTATGGTTATTTTTGGTTTTATTATGAAAGGGTGAGTGAGAGAGAGACAGGAAAGAGATGCAGTAAAGGGCCTGAGTTAGATCTGATCCCAGGCCACTTCAGTAAGGACTGAGCCGCTCTACCAGGTGAGCACCACTTACTGGATATTTAGATAAAACTATAATAGATACAAAAGTTGGGTATTTAATTTAAAATATAGTACAAGATTGATTTATCTACAGGTTCTTCTCTTCTCTTTTTGTCAAAATTAACATTGTCAAATGTCTAACGGTGCAAAACTGATTCAACAACTAATCATTGCATCTCTAATTTTACAACAAAAAGATACCCATTACAATTTCCCAGGACACAAGTTGTCATATTAAGTGAATGTTTGTTTTATCCAACTGTGTAAAACACAAAGATTCAGTTTAACACAGAGAACGTTTAAGAAGCTAGAATCAGTGAACTGTTCCTCAGATTTGATTTAAAAAGTGATTATCAAAATCGTTGCCCATTCATTTGGTTAAACACATAATTGTTTCAGCTCTAAACTACCTGAATTAAACTGTACGTTTCCTCTCACGTGTCCTTCACACAAGGAACCAAGAGGCCGGGTTCAGGCTGAGGATAAACCATGAGAAAATCACAGTCATCTTTTAAACGTCTCGACCATGAAGGTTGTCATGAGACTGTAGAGGATATAATGACTCACATTCTGATAGAGGCGCCGAGGCCTCGTAACACAACGACTGTAAAGAGGTTAGTGCGCCGTGCAGAACTTACAATATAGAAATTATATGTAATTAATCATTACAATCCAACTAGCAGTATTATGTTTTACAGATAAAGTACAGCAATGCAGGTTTTCTGTAGAGCTGACAAGGACTATGGAGAATGTAATTATATCATTTTAAACCAATAAAAAATTTTTCAACGGAAACTGTTGGTTTTAAAAAAAGATGTACTTTGATTTCATTATCATTTAATCACATAATTATTTCTTCCATTAAAAAGGGAAAAATAAAAGCCCAAGGTGGTATTATAAAATGCCTTGTTTTCTAACCAGCCCCAAACCGAGATATCATTATCATTATTGATTAATCTGCTGATTACTTTTCTGATCAATTGATCAATTTTGTCTGGAAGAAGTTAGATAATAGTGAGCCCAGCACAGGGTCTAAAAACATCCCAAATTTGTTTGAAAAATAACAGGATTCATAAAACCATCAAAATAAATCAACCAGGGCAAGAAGAAAAATAATGAAGAACAATAAAGAGTCTTTATATACATTTAATTACATGCATGACACTTGTGTTGTCTCGTGCATCTGGAGATCAGAGAGCAGCAGAAAGGCACTGACAGCGCTCCGGTTCTTCACCATGACGGACCAACTCAAATCAAAGATCGGTATGAATAAATCCATGACAATCTAAAGATGAGCCAAGCTGAGCTTCAAATCAAATCATCTGACTAAATCAGCCCATTCAATGTAATCTCAGCCAGCACACGGAGCCGAGCTTATTGACAAATGCAACATCTTTTTATAATGGGGTTGATGTAGATGCTCATCCTTGAGTGTCAGCTGGAGCCCTGAGGAGAGCCGGCAACATAACCAGGCCTCTGTGATCTGGTGAATGCATGAAAACTCGGCCCCAGGGTCCCTGTTTAATGCAGCGCTGCGAGGCTTGTTCCTTTTAAAGCACTGCTGTGTAAACGTGCTAGTAAATCTGTGCTAGACGAGGACACAAGATCCCCACTCTCCCACCCCCCAACCCAGCATTCCTTAAAAACGGCAAACCAATTTTCAATTTTATGTGTGCGTGTGTGTATGTGTTATGTGTGTGTGTGTGTGTGTGTGTATATATATATATATATATATATATATATATATATATATATATATATATAATGTGGCACTCAGTGGCCTGATGGTGTTCAGTATGAGGCAGGAAGCAGACGCCTGCAGCTACTGTATACAGTCAGAGGAAAAACAACCGATGTGAAAGACAAAAATGTGCAGCAAGTTTTTTCAGAATTAGAAAAAGAAATGGGGCATCCTAGTTGCCTGAAGAGCACCCTGTGTGACTGATGTTCTCGCTTCAGATCTTCGTTGTGTCATTTCCCTTTTGCATTTTCAATCACTCTACACTATGAATTTTCACAATAAAAAAAGGTATTACAACAAGAAAACAATTGCAACCTTCAAATGGGGTCACATTGAGCATCTTAAGAGTCCATATAAATGACCCAATGTTGTGTTGTTCATGGCTAAACGGAAACTTTCTGAGTTTGTGAATTGGGACATTAACTGTCACTGTTGTTGTCTACTGTTTTCTGATCCTTCAGCTTCACACTGAAATGCAAAACCCACAAAATCATTCACCATTTTTTTTCAATGAGATGACGTCTTGCGGTATCTATTTTTGTCTTTTTCCGAGGAACAGGGTTGTTCTCAAAAGTTTAAGCACACGACACTGGGGAAGCAAGTTTCCTCAACTTCATATGTGGAAAAAACAAACACACTAGTTCAATCAAGTTAAATTTAAAGACAGCATAAGCAGCACTAAAAAACAGGGGAGGGAAAAAGGGAAACAAAGCCCCAGACAGTTCTTTTTAAACATAACGAGTGACGTGAAATTTGGTGTGTCAGTGGTGCCGGATGACCAAGATCACATGGCTGAACTCAGCCCTGACTAGGAAAATGTTTTGCATAAAAGAAGCTCATTGTTGTGAATGTGTAACACACAGTGGGTATAAATGTATTGATTGGCACCATTAACCAACACCTCAAAAAAACTACCTTGAGGTGATTTCTTTTTTCTTTCTATTTTAAAATACAAATGGCTGAACACAGGCAGTGAGGGTCCAGAGTTTTAAATAAAGTCCACACTATAGCATAAACACTGAAACATCTTCAAGCTGCATCACTAATGGCATTCAACACATGAAAACTGAAACTGTAATATTGCAAATGACAAACTAATCTTAGCTACAGGAACAGACAAAGTGAAAGCTGAATGCTTTCCCATATTTCGATGCTAAATCTCCTGAAGCACATGTCGCCTTTATATCAAACTGAATCTCTCCAAAGTTATTTCACAGGAAATAGGGACACTTGTGATGTGTGGCTTTGATTTAAGTTTATATAAGCATTACATCAACCTCTGCCCCAAGACGGAAACCCCAGATCTAGTTAGTTTTGTTTGGACACTGCAACACCATAAATGGCCTCCACTCCACCCTGTCAAATACCTCATCAACAGACATCACTGTTTTTCAGCTGTTAACAAACATTAAACATCATGTCTCTCAGCAGCTCAACGAACCAGATGTTAGCAAGGCTGATATGTTGTTTGTTGAGGTTAATGCGAGACATTAAAATCCAGGATTCAGTCCTCCTGAAAGCAACTCCTTGCATCATATAGAAATTATACTGTTTATTTTAATAACATTGGCATATGCTGATAAATGTTGAAGTGGCTACAAAGGTAATCCTACATGACAACAGCAGCTGATGTTAACTAGAGCTGAAACAATTACTCGACTGATTGGTTGATTAAAAGAAAATCGACACCAATTTAGATCAAATATTTTAAACATAAATTGTGAGATAAATGTCATATACTCGCTGATTTTAGCCTCTCAAAAGGGGGAACACTTGCTGCTTTCCTCTGTCATGTATCATTAAATGAATACTTGGGATTTTAGGACTTTAAAAAAGACGCCACCTTCAGCTCAGACATTTTTTTTTTTTAGTTTCACAGACCAAACGAATTAATCGGAAAAACAAAAGGTAGACGAATGTATAATGAAAACAATCGTTAGTTGCAGCCCTGATGTTAACATTACCGGGTTTGGGCAGATGTAATCAACAGACCCACAGCAAGAAACGCAGTAAACCACAGCACACCGTTTGATAATGTCTGTCCTAAAACAGCTTTGTGTTGCTGAATTCTCTCTCAATTGTGCATCTTAACGGTTTGCTCGGTATGAGGAGAATAAACGTTGGAATCAGCT